AGGGACAATACTTCAAATCCACTCCCTACCTTGGTTATTCCTAAGCCACCAAATGAAATTAATATACCTACACAACTCACCTTGGTCTATTGGTTGAGAGCTTAGACTATCAACTAAGAGGTCTTGGGTTCGAGTCTTGTGTATGTCATGTGTGTGTGAGTCTGCCTTAATTGGCCTAAATGTTCCTAAAAAAATAATATACCTAAAATTTTGGATTCATTTGACCCCACAACAAATGCCACTGAGAGGGCGCTCCGAACATTGAACAAATCACAAATCGGAGCAACAATTACATTCTCGACGTTCTACCATTATGAAAATACCATCATATTTATGCAACTTTCATTATAATTTATTCACTTCTAATAAAATGGTTGAAGTTTATTTATCTAGAACACATATAGCAAAGTCAAAAGTGATTAGCTTTTGTGAAATTTTATTTCTCATGACCATTTATCTAGTCCTTCCAGGCAATACGTCCCGAGGGCGTCTATGCAAGCTGAACCACAACAATATAATTAGGCCATAATCTCTCCTAAATGGCAAAATGCAATGAAATCCAAGACTCGAGCACTTCAGGAAAATCGTACCTGGTCAATCGTTGCCCTACCTCTAGGAAAACATTCAATTGGTTTCAAATGAACTTACAATATTAAACATAGCCGGGATGGTACTATAAATAAATATAAAACAAGGCTTTTTGCTAAAGGGTGCAAGCAACAAAAAGGAATAGACTTTACAATGACTACAATTAATAAAACATCGCTGCAGACGGAAATTGGTATCTCTTTTATATAGAGATACACGATGATTTGCCTGAGGAAGTTCATATGAATTTGCTTCCAGGATACGCACGTGAGGGAGAGATAAAGCAATCAAATAATAAACTAGTCTGTAAACTACGCAAGTCCATATAGGGCTTAAACAGGCATCAGGCCAACGGTAGGCTAAATCTTCTTCATCATTCAGCAAAGTTTGTGGCACCAAATTTCTTGCCCTAATTGTTTGCATTGATGATACCATTATCACAACAAAATCAGAATAAGCTATGATTCTTCATAATCATTTTGGCATAGCCAATTTAAGCTCACAGTCTGAAATCTCATTTAACAGCAGCCTATCATTTACTGTGCTGCATCAAATCTACACCGGGGCAAGGTATATTTGTTCATAATTCATCTTGTTTACAACTAAAAACATTTTCTGATGCAGATTGGGGTTTTTGTCTCGACACTAGAAGATTGATCACTAACTAATCCTTAATTTCGTGTAAGGTAAAGAAACAACCATAAATAATGTTGAAGCATTCGTTGCCCCAAATAACATTGGGAAGGAACACCGGAGACAGAGGACACGTGGATTGATCGAGAGGAGCTACAGAGATTGGACCCAGATCTTCTAGAGTTATATGAGAGCTTCCATGGCACACACTCGACGGGGTCGAGTTCTCTCCCACCCGGAGAGAATGATGAGGTCATCGACAGGAGATTTCGGCGAGACTACCAGAGACGAAATCAGAGATCGACGGCCATGATGGAGAGCCTCTACTACTTATTTTATTTGCACTAGCATTTTATGTATTATGCATTTTCTTTTCTAGTTTTTCCCATTTTACCCTTGAGGGTATTAGTTTGCTTTTGTAGCCCGGAGGGCATTTTAGACTTTTATATTTGTTGTCATGTGGAGCCTATTTAAAGGGCTCTTGTGTCTTGTATGAGGTATTGATTGATTAATAGAAAATTTTCTTTGGTTTGTTCTCTTTGTGAGTTCAAGAAGATCTCTTGGTGAGTTCTTCACATGAGATCTCTTTGTGAGTTCTCCTAGTTTATGCATCCAAGGATCTTCCCATCATCCCTCACCATCACCCACCCCAACATATTGAAAGCAGCCAACCCCTTTCCCCTCTCCACCCTAGCCGTCCCCCTTGAGCTCCACCCACCCGTCGGCCATATCAAAGCCCCCACCGGCCGGCCACCTTGCCGCCGGCTTCCCTCCACCACCCTTCCACCACCACATATTTCCCTCGCATTCTCGCTTGAAATTTGATTTTCAAATTTCAAATTATTTCCAAATTTGGACGATCTATTTTAGGAAAGTTTTAATTTTTTGAAATCAATTTCACATCCATGAAATTGGATTCATGAAATAATAATTTCCTAGTCATCCTCCTAATTTGGAATCCTCCACCTCATCCCTAATCCTCCTCTCACCTCCTTGATGCCACCGGCCCCCTTCATTGGGCCCCCTCTTGATTGCACAATTAATCCCTAATCCTATTTTGAAATTCAACTCCTAATTTCAAAATAATTCCCTCCGGTTTTACTTAAAACTGAAATTAATTCAGTTTTAAATTCAAACCATTCCCCTTTAATCAAACCGCCGGCCCCTATGAGCCTCCCCATTGGACGATCTTCCGCCGCTCACCCTAGTTTCGTAGTAAAGAGAGAATAGGCTTCAAGGTGAACAACTCCTTATTATTTGTTGGATTCTATTTGCTAGTTTTTAACTTTACTATTTTCCTTTGTATTGGCTTAAATCGCCCGGCTATCTTCTTTTATTGTAATTCCTTTGCCTAAGCAAAGAGGAACGCTACAAGCTCTTGTAACCGATTTGACTTTGAAGCATGAAATTATGAATGGTTAAGCTTTAATTAACTTTCTTTTCTTAAATCATGTGTAACTCAATTCATGCATCACATCATTTTGGTATCAGAGCATGGTTACCATGCTTGACATGTTTAGAGAACATCCTAGGGTCTAGCCTCTTGTTGTAGTTTAAAACTTGCATGCATATCATTTCGTAATTAGGAAATTTTCACTGTTTTCCTTACTGTTTTGAAAATTCCTGCAAGCATTTAGCTAAGTTAGAACCTATTAACTATTGTATTAAGTGCTAGCCTCTTATCTGTTAGGTCTTTAAGTGTTTAGAGCATCGATTCCTTACTTTCACATTGCTGTCCTCACTGTTACAGCCACTGTTAGTCTTCGTTTAGTGGACTTTTAGGCATTGTTTAAGTGCTGTCCACTCATTCGACACTTCCCAAACACTTAGACAACATTAGGCTTTTGCTGTAGGTTGCTGTCCCTAACTTTCCAGCATCATATATAGGCATTAGGAGCATCTTAGCTTAGCGTCTAGGTGCTGCCCTCCACCCCAACACCTTCTTTAGCAACCCCTAGCCATCTCCAATGGATCCGGAACACTTGCAAGCGACTTTAGACCTCATAGTGGGACAACTGGGATCGGTTATGCAGCAGATCCGCAACACCCAAACTGATTTAGCTGACTTTAGGCGACATACGAGTGACAGACTAGATAATATCAAGCGTATGAGGAACCCTGCTACTACACACCTTCGAGACCTCACTCACCTTATGGCGAGGATAACAGACCCGATCATGACCAACCTCGAGATCCCGGACATTTTCAAGACCATTACCGACATAACCCAAGACCCCATCAAGAACCCATAGGAAACGACAACCCTTGGAGAGACAACGACGCTCAACTACTGAAGAACATTAGGATTGACGCCCCAACTTACGACGGAACTCTTGAACCTCAAGTTTTCCTGGATTGGCTCAAGTCGATGGATAGGTACTTTAAATGGTACAACATTTCGGAAGCTAGGAAAGTCAGGTTCGTTGAAATGAAGCTCACTGGTCGAGCAAACCTGTACTGGACCAACTTGGAGAACATGCGTGAAGCTCGAGGTGAACACCCTATAAACAATTGGAGAACTATGAAACAAAAACTTATGAGGAAATACCTACCGCCATCCTACTACCCTAAACTGCTAGATAAGTGGAATCGACTAACCCAGGCAAGCAAGTCCGTTAAAGATTACATCTCCGCCTTCGACGATTTCCTGATTCGTTGCAACGGCGAGGAATCTGCTACTCCCACACAAATCCTGTCTATGTTCAGAGCTGGTCTTTGGGAAGATCTTCGAACCGAACTGTTTGCTAGAGGAATAGACACGCTCGAGGCAGCCTGCAGCCTTGTACTTGACTTGGAGGAGTCCAAGACCCATTCCCACACCAGACAGTTCAACGCCCGGCCCAACCCGTATCGTACTTCCACTAACCAGTCTCACAGCCGCCCCACTAACTCGATCGGTAACCGACCCTCAGCTAGTGCGGTGTTAACCTCTATACAAAGAAACAAAAATAGCAAAAATCTGTACGTACCTCGGACTGAAATCCCGCAAATTCTGCCGCAAATTGCGCCGATTCGGCGCCGTTCGCGTCGTTTCTCCGCAAATCCTGCGACGATGGCTTCGATCGCCTCCCATTTGCTTCTATAAGAGGGAGACGAGCTCTCTGCTTCCAGGATCCATTCCATTCGGAGCTCTCGGCTTCTCCTCCCAAAATCCACGAATTGCTCCTCTGCTCTCGTCGATCCCCACGCACGACCCGATCTCCACAGCCCGATCTTCCCGAGCCGCAACCGACCCCGAAGCCTTCTTCCTCCTCCGATCCTCTCACCCGACCCAGCTCCCTTGCCGACCGCCTGTGCCGATCCCGATCTCAGAGAAGCAGAGAGAGAGAG